CCAATGACCGGAAAGTTGCACCTGTTGTAAATTATTCCTTACTGTAAAACCTGTAACTTCTGATAAAATAGCAGTTTGATTTTATAAGAGTAATAATACATACTTATTTTATTACTAAAAACTGAAGTAGGAAATTCACGATACATATACTTCAGTTATTACTAATATTAACGTTAGTTCAGATTTTAAACTTTTATGTTTTAGTTTTTCAGGCTTATTAATATGAAATAACTAACAACTACTTTAACGAACTAAGTAGTGGCAGAAGATCTAGATGTCAAGCCAACATCTCCCTTTTTTATATCTAATTTTCATATTATGTGAAAAAAGAAACCTACGTTGAGAAAATTTGACTAGCTACACTGCACGCGTGGCACTAAAAAAAATACGCGATTAAAACTACTAGTAGAAACGTAAATCATTGTTCACAGCAATAAAGTATACCTACCAGTTCAGTGAAGTATAACTTTAGGCTTAAAATATACAATCAAACTTGAAAAAGCTTCGAATAAAATAAGCATACAATACCCTACCAAAAGTCATGGGACACACCTCTGATTGCTGAAAAATAGATGTGATGACGAAATATGCAAATAGTTTGGCCTATAAAGGTGATGAGCGGTTCGCTCGGAAGTCCTTTCGAACTTGTACGCTGAACGATAAGTACTCGGTAATAGCTAACAGAGTTTCATAGGGGAAGGATAGTTGAATGTAATTTGGGGAAAATGTCTATGTTTTATTGCACAACAATTAAACATTCCCAGGTCGACAATTGGGAACGTGCTGAAGAAATGAAAGTCCACGGGTAACAATGAGCCCAAGAAACGACCAGGTAAGCGTAATATACTGACTGACAGGAGCCGACGCATCTTGAGATGGCTGTGTTTGGAGATGCGTGCAGCCACAGGCAATATTATAAGTGCTTCCACGATACATCGAGAGCTGCATGCCATGAATTTTCACGGAAGAGCTGCAGCCCACAAGCCGTTGGTAACAAAAACAAATGCACACCGTCGATTGGCATGAGGTAAGGCACACCGAATCTGGACCCTGGATAATGGAAATCGGTCCTGTGGAGCGACGAGTCACACTACACGCTCTTCCAGTCTGATTGACGTGTTTGGGTATTGAGGATGCCTGGAGAACGCTTATTACCTGAGTGTGTTGTCCCGACAGTGAAGTTTGGAGGTGGCTGTATCATGGTCTGAGTGTGCTTCTCGTGGTATGGACTAGGTCCACTGGTCGCCATGCATGGGTCCATCAATGCTGAGTCCTACATTGATGTTCTGAACAATTCTGTGTGTTCTACATTGTGACAATTTTATGGTACCCTTACACCTTCCAACACGATAACGCTCCATGTCAGAAAGCAAGGATTTTGAACGCATGGGTTTGAAGATAATAACATCAGAACATTCCAGTGGCCAGAACAGAGCCCCGACCTCAACTCGATAGAACATCTTTGGGATGAGCTAGAACGCAGAATTGTGGTAAGGCCAAGATGGCCCTTTTCAGTAGTGGAGCTTACTAATGCTTTAAAGAAGGAGTGGAGCACAATACCACCAGCTTTCTATCAGAAATTAGTAAACAGTCTTCCACGACGCATTGAAGCGGTCATTAAGGCCAAAGGCTAATACTTTCTTGGAATAAAGACACGTTTTATTCGTAACTACCTGTGCCCCATGAATTTTGGTAGGATAGTGTATAATAACAACAGATGATAGCAGACGATTTTCGGGTCGCAGAAAACGCATACTAATGAGAGAACACGTGCACATTTTTCAAGCTAAGGGTTGTGGGAATTTCAGCATTTTGTTGGGGTTTCAACTTTCTTTTTTGGAAAATTGATTTCAAGAAGTCAGTGTCACAAACATTTTGTTTGATATTTTGAATTCAACATTTGTAAGACATCTGAATTCAAAGTGGTGAATTTGAAATTAAAAATATTCGTAAGACCTCTGAAATCTCAAAGCCGCGTCGAATGGAAATCCAAGATGATGCAGACCACTGGGGACGAGAAATCCAAACCCTTTATATATTCAAAGATTTGAAATTGCATTCGCGTTTATCTAGAAGACGAGTTTTGTTCCTTATTACTGTAGATACGGTGCAAATATATATACTTTCACATTTTGTATTTTAACTTTCCTGAAAACGATGCGACTAACAAATAGATCTACTAAGTTGTTGTCGTTCGATCAATTCCACGCTACTCAAGTTTTCTAATTCAAATGCTATGTTATGCATTAAATATTTGAAATTACGGTCCAGTTCTACTATTCGATTAGAGTAGCCCAGGAGTTGGTGGTGGGTAATGTTGACTAGCTGTCATGGGTAATGTTGACTAGCTATCATGTCAAAACTAGGGACGTATAACGCGGATAGTTCGTGGGTGGTGATGACTATCTGCCTTCCCTCTAGTCTTCTACTGCTAAATTAGGGACGGTTAGCGCAGATAGCCTTCGAGTAGCTTTGCGCAACACTAAAAAAAACAAAAAAACTATTACTTATTATTGCATATTTTAACATTATTCTTATACGTTTTTCACACGAACTATCCAAAGTAAACAAGACGATTTTGATAATATTACTTGTACAACTATTCTACTACTACTACTACTATTTTGGAACAGACCTTGGTACTTCTTCCCTAACACCCTTCAATTATCTCTTTAATGTTGACTTTTTAAATGATAAGGGGAATTTACCAAGACAAAATTCCCAATTGCCAACTCTGGGGCTACTCTTTTACCAACTAATAGTGGGATTGACCGTCACATTATAATGCCCCCACGGCTGAAAGGGCGAGCATGTTTGGTGTGACGGAGATTCGAACCCGCAAACCTTAGATTGCGAGCCGAGCGCCTTAACCACCTGGCCATGCCGGGCCAAATAAGTAATAATAGTAAAGTAAAAGTCGTTTCTTCCCGCTTACTCCTTGTGGTCGAGGGTTCGAAGTAAGGGACGAAGTCATATTACCTGGAATGCGCACTAACAACATAATTGGATGGAAATTATATTGTCCTTTAGCCGGTGCTAAAATCGTTTAACATTCACATCAAATCGGTTTTAAGATTTAGTTTTTCCTCACAGAATAATTTCTCGGTTAGATTTGGCTGAAAATAAATCAACTAAAGACAACACCTTTGGTAAACAATTCTCAGTTGTCCTAACTAACTAGGCCCGGCATGGCCACGTGGT